TTAAGAGGTGTCTGCTACTATTTCCATGGTGTAGAAGAGAATGAGATTTAGAGGGCTTCAGTAATTTCTCCGAAGACAAACAGCTGTTAAGTGGTGTAGCTAGGAGTCAAACTTTGTGCTGTTCCAGACCCAACATTCTTAGTCACTATTTGCATTTTTTATTCATATTTTTCCTCACTCACCATCATTCTTAGTGATGTTAACATTCCTAGTGACCGTTCGTCAAGGAAGTGTTATGAACTCATAGTTTCAACAATGTCTGGATTCCACTTTCACTGTACAACTTCCATACTCTAGAATTGCACACCATAGGTTGCTGCTTTCCACCTCTGAAATCTTGGAGTTGGCGGGCTTCTTGTAAGCACAATTGCTTTCTCCTTCTTGTTCACCTCCATCAAGCCTACTTCTCAGAGTCCCTCACTCTTCTGACCCACATTCCCTTCCATTTTTCCCAATGTTTTGACTTCCTTTGACTATATCATCCCCACTTGAGGACTATTTTAGTGGTTCTTACCATCAGTCTCCACCACCTGTCTGTCAATTTGTTGGATGGTGATGATTTCGGTGTTGCTATGTTGCTGGAAGATATACCATCAGTATTTCAAATACCAGAAGGGTCACTTATGGTGGACATGTTTCAGCAAATCTTCCAGACTAAGACAGTCTAGCAAGAAAGGCCTGGCGATCTACTTCCAAAAACCTTATGGATCACAACAGAACATTGTCCGACTTGCTTGCTTTGGATACATCATCAGCATGGATTAATCACCAGAGAAGGACATCCAACAAAGTCATGGGAGACCCTCAGTGTGATAGATTGGCACGACAGCTACAAAGATGGACTCGAATATGCTGGCAAGTGTGAGGATGATGCTGGACCAGGCAATGTTTTATTCTATTGTACATAAGGTCTCAATGAGTCAGAGTTGACTTGATGGAAGCTAACAACCACCACCCCCATCAGTAGTCTCAACTCCCAAAGTCTCTTGATTTTAGATGAGCCTTCAATA